TTAGGGTTTCGGGCTTTTGGGTTTAGGGTTTGGGGTTGTGTTGGGTTGTTTAAGAGTTTTTAGGGTTGTTTTGGTTTGTTTTGGGCTGTTTAGGGTTGTTTGGGGTTGTTCAGGGTTGTTTGGGGTGTTCAGGAGTGTTTAGGGTTGTGTTGGGTTGGGGGACAAGCTGGCAGACTTGAGGGTGTGGGAATCGGGTGTTGTGTTTTGGGGGTGTTTGGGCTGTTCCAGATGTTTGGACGCGTCTTGCATATGAGGGCATGAGTGCTTGGGGCCGTTTTGTTCGCATTTTTGCCCTAAACCCTAAACCCCAAACCCTAAACCCTTTCTTCTAGAATGGGGCTTTTTTGTGCCGCGATATGGAGGCCAGCACAGCCCATGGACGTGGAGCGGCGCAGTTTGAAAAACCTGCGGCCCTCGAGAATGGGCTCCCGTAAAGTGCTCCCGTTTAGGGTTTAGGGTTTAGGGTTTAGGGTTTAGGGTTTAGGGTTTAGGGTTTAGGGTTTAGGGTTTAGGGTTTAGGGTTTAGGGTGACTAACCAGCAACTTGAGCGCGAGAGAGAGAGAGAAGAGAAAATCAAGGGAGGCTCTTCCCAGCATTCTCCTTAAGCTTAGGCCCCTTTTGGGACCCACCAAGTAAGCCCAACCTACAGAGCCCGAGCCCCAAACCATTGTGAAGGGCTTTCCTGCTAAACCCTAAACCCTAAACCCTAAACCCTAAACCCTAAACCCTAAACCCATTGACAGCTATATTCTGTAGTATCCCACGAAGCCTTAAACCCCCAAACCCAGAACCAGATCATCTTCTAAACCCTTCAACCCTAAACCCTGAGCCCCAAACCCCGAACCGCAAACCCTAAACCCTAAGCCCCAAACCCAAGCCCGAAACCCTAAACTCCAAACCCCAAACCCCAAACCCTAAACCCCAAACATTAAAGCCTAACCCCTAAAAGCTCCCGGAAGACCCTAAAAGCCCTCGAAGCCCCTCAACTTCCCACAGGCACCAAAGCACCTGGCACCCTTGGGCCCGCGCCGCCCTGCGGCCCCGCTGCGGCTGCCGGCGCTCTTCAGCTCCGTGGCCTATTTCGGCTTTAGGGTGTTTTTTTGTAAAAAAAAACAAACTTTTTTCTGTTTAGGGTTTGTTCGGGTTTTTAGTTGTTTTTTGGGCCTTTTCTTGGTTTTGGGGTTTTTGGAGTTGTTGTTGGACCATTTTTTCGGGTTTAGGGTCTTTTAGGGTTTTTAGGGTTTAAGGGTTTAGAGGTTTAGTGGGGTTAGGGTTTATGGTTTAGCGGCAACCCCCAATCCCAAAAACTTCTCAACCCGTAAATTTTCAAACCCACAACACAAGCAACCCCCAACCACCCACAGCCCAATCCCCCGACCCCCCCCCCCCCCCCCCCCCCAAACAAAACGAAAAGAAGAGGCAGAACCGTAAACCCTAAACCCTACAAACCCTATAAGCCCTAAACCCTAAACCCTAAACCCTAAACCCTAAACCCTACAAACCCTACAAACCCTATAAACCCTATAAGCCCTAAACCCCAGACCCTAACTACAAGCCGAAGGCTGGTGTGACGGGGACCCGAACCACCCTCACCAGGCGATGGCTGCGCCATCTACCATCAAGACTTGAGGGTTGGGCTTTTTTGGTCCCTTTTACACTAGCAGCCCTTAGTAGGGATACTAGGGTTTGGGGTTTAGGGTTTAGGGTTTAGAGTTCAGAGTTCAGGGTTTAGGGTACCCCCCCCCCCCCCCTATTATACTCCCTATTAAGGGCTGCTAGTATAAGGGGGAACATCCCGACTTTGAGGGCGATCCAAACCCTAGGCTAGGGACCCAAGCAGTCAAGATCTAGAAGCCCCAAACCCTAAACCCTAAACCCTAAACCCTAAACCCTAAACCCTAAACCCTAAACCCCCTCGATAGTCCTAGGCTTTCTCGGGTCAGAGCATGAAACCTTACGAACCCCGGCCCGTGCCGGTTTCGGACACCTGGCTAAACCTCAAACCCTAAACCCTAAACCCTAAACCCTAAACCCTAAACCCTAAACCCTAAACCCTAAACCCTAAACCCTAAACCCTAAACCCTAAACCCTAAACCCTAAACCCTAACCCCCAAACCCTAAACCCTAAACCCTAAACCCTAAACCCTAACCAACAAAAGACCTCAAACCCCAAGCCCTAAACCCTAAACCCTAAACCCCAGACCACACCAAGCCCTAAGGCTCCTAAACCCGGTAAAACCCTAAACCCATGTAAACCCATCAAGCCCTGGTAAACCCTAACCCCCCACCCCCCCCCCCCAAAAAAAAAAAAAAAAACAACCCTCTTAAGCCTTATTGTATAAGCCCACTAACCTATCCTACACCCCCAAATCCATCAACTATGAGAGCCGCAAATAAGGAATGAACCTAAGTTTTCAGTTTAAGGTTCTAGGGGGTTTGCTGGCATGAAGGTTTCCCAGACATTTCAGGGCTTTCTTCGCACCCTAAACACTGAACCCTAGACCCTGAACCCTGAACCCTGAACCCTGAACCCTAAACCCTAAACCCTAAACCTGTTGGGGTTTGAGGGGTTCCAGAGCCCCCTAAATATGCTCAACCCCCATTGTTCCCGAGAGTCTCCTTACCCCGGAGGAGTACGAGGAGCTCCCTCTCTTCTTCCATCGGGACTTTCGGGAAGCACCCTGGGCCGGATTGGTACCCTTTTCCCTCTTTTTCTGGTGGTTTAGGGTTTAGGGTTTAGGGTTTAGGGTTTAGGGTTTAGGGTTTAGGGTTTAGGGTTTAGGGTTTAGGGTTTAGGGCTGCTAGGACCCAGAGTGGACCCTTATTCCCCTGTCGGGGGCTTAGATTCCCTTATTATCCCCTTGCCTTTAAACCAAATAGGGCACCCTTTTTATTCCTAGCTTGCTCTTGGGTCTAGCTTCAGGGCGTGTAATTTCTAGGCCTTGAGGTTTAAGATTGTATGGCTGTTGGGGTTTTCGATCGTTTGTTTATAGTTGATGTCAGTACTTTTTTCCTGCTTCTTTTAACTTCGTAGATGAGTAGGTCACCTTTAACCTTTTGGGGGGTTATGTAAGCCTACCAGAATGGAAAGGTTAACCTGTTTGGGGCCCAACTAGGATAATATATGGGGGGGGGGTGGCTCTTCATGTTCTGAGGGTTTGGAGGTGTGACTTGAAGACAAGCTCGCACAAGAGTCCGGCGGTTTCGGGGTTTTTCGGCGATTTCAGGGATGTTCCCCTTAGCATGTTTCAGTTGTCACAATAGTAGTAGGCAGCCATGAGCTAAACCCTAAACCCTAAACCCCAAACCCTGAACCCTGAACCCTGAACCCTGAACCCTAAACCCTTTAAACCCTACACCCTAACCCTAAACCCTAAGTTGCTTGGCCTGTACGTGTTGGAGCGCATGGGGGATGATCTTTGGTGCAGGTGCACACGAGAAGTTGCGAGGCGCGAGCCAGGCCCTAGATCCAAACGCCCTAACCCAGAGGGTGCGTTTGTATTGCTATTATGGAATTAGGTACCAAAAAGCCATACTAAATAGGGTCTTTGGGGTACCTACATCCATAATAGTATTACAACTGGACCTTCTGGGTAAGTTCTTCCTAGAACCAGCACCCCGAATTAGACATCCCAGCTCCTAAACCCTAAACCCTAAACCCCTAAACCCTAAACCCTGAATCCACCGAATTGCTTCTGAAGGTAATTCGCCACGATGAAGGGCATCTGCCACCAACCTTCAGGCGCGAACACCTCGGAGGGGTAAACCCTAAACCCTAAACCATAACCCTTAACCCTCAACCGGTTCTCCAAGCAGGGCTTCGGCACCTTGCTTTACGGTTCGGTGCTCTAAGGCTAGGGGTTCAGTCTGCGTTTGAGGCGCACGGTTTTCTGATGTTTGGGCTTTTGGCCCTCAGGGTGTAAGGTTGGGGCGGGGCTCTACCATCATTTGCAGGCCTCTACTATGACAGAAATGCTCGCCGGTAACGGGGCTTGTAACGGAAACTGTAACGGAAAGGAGCGGAGCTGTAACGGGCTTGTCGCGAAGCTGTAACGGAGCCGTATCGGAAGGCTGCAACGGAGCGCTACCGGCTGTAGCGATGCTGTAACAGAAGCTGTAACGGAGCCATAGCAGAAGCAGCAACTTGATAACGGACCTGTAACGGAACTGTAACGGAGCTGTGCAACTGAGCTGTAACGGGAGCTGTGGCGGAGCTGTAACGGAGATGTAACGGAGCTGTGTAACTGAGCTGTAACGGAAGCTGTAACGGAGCTGTAGCGGAGGTGCATCGGAGCTGTAATGGAGCTGTAACGGAGCTGTAACGGAAACTGTAACGGAAGCTGTAACGGAAGCTGTAACGGAGCTGCAACGGAGCTGTAACGGAGCTGTAACGGAAGCTGTAAAGGAGCTGTAACGGAGGTGCAACGGAGCTGTAACGGAGGTGCGTTGGAGCTGTAACGGAGCTGCAACGGAAGTGTAACGGAAGCTGTAACGGAGGTGTAACGGAGGTGCAACGGAGCTGTAACGGAGCTCTGGTGGAAACTGTAACGGAGGTGCAACGAAGCTGTAACGGAACGGTAGCCGGTGCTGTAACGGAGCTGTAACGGAGGGCCCGCGGTGGGTAGCGCAAATCCCATAGTAAATGATGGTAGAGCCCACCCCCAAGTGTAAGGTTTAGGGGTGTGAGTTTGGTGGTTTAGGGTTCGTGGTCTACCACGAAGATCATTGCAGTAATACGTCCAAGGCCTTCATCCCTTGCTCCAGCGAAAAATAACCACCCCCCAAACATATACATGCTCCAGTTACGGTATGTTATGGTATTGGGGAAATATTTAGTATCAGCGGGTAGGACATAAAGACCCCCCAAAGACAGCCTACCCTTTACCTATGCATAGGCCAGGGCTTACATAGAGTACAGGGTAGCCTGTGGCACGGGATGAAGATGAAAGTCCTGTCACTGCATTGCTCACCGTCTTGTTTCGAATCGCTTATAAGCAGCCATGGAAGATTGGAAGACTGTCGCAGTCGTGCTGATGTGTGTCTCGAATTTGGGATTGGCTTAGTAATGCGGCGAACAAAGGATCTTGAGTCTGCAGAGATCTAGGGTTTGGGTTTAGGGTTTAGGGTCTAGGGTTTAGGGTTTAGGGTGGCCGTGCACGGGTTCGTCCAGGTCAAGCAGGTGCCAGACTGCCAGGCCGCCACAGGGCCCTGACCGGGTTCCGGACCGAGACCGAAGCAGGAGCAGATCCTGCAGCAGTCCCAGTTGGGGTTGGGGCTGGGCACAAGAGCTTGGTGACAAGGTCCACACGCACTTGCCAAGCTGCGTCGTTGAAGGCGTTCTTTGCCCAGAGCCGAAAGGATTGGGCCAAGCGAGCCTGGCAGACTGCGATGCAGGCTGTACAGAAGGAACGCTAAACCCTAAACCCTGAGCCCTAAACCCTAAACCCTAAACCCTAAACCCTAAACCCTAAAACCCTAAAACCCTAAAACCCTAAAACCCTAAACCCTAAACCCTAAACTCTAAACCCTAAACCCTAAAACCCTAAACCCTGCTGAGGCCATCAGGGAGCTTCCGGTTTTGGGGTTTCAGGCTGGACCCTGAATCCCAAACCCGAATTTCGTGAACCTTCAGCCTCAAAAACCCTTGGACCCTCAAACCCGTAAATGCCCTCACCCCACAACGCTTTAAGACCTCAACCCTAGAACCTAAGGCCTAGACCCCAAACCCTAAACCCCTAAGGCCCAAACCCTAAACCCTTAAACCCTAAACCCCAAACCCTAAACCCCAAACCCCAAAAACCCTAAACCCCAAACCCTAAACCCTCCACTTGCACAGGAAGGGCACGGAAGCCTTCGACCGCTTTTGTCGATTCCTTGAGGCCTTCTGGTGTTTTCCTTAGGGTCTATATAGGTTTAGGGTTTAGGGTTTAGGTTTAGGGTTTAAGGTTGAGGGTTTGCGGTTTGGAGTTTGCGGGTTTACGGTTTCGGGTTTAGGGTTTGGGGGCCTGGGGGCTTCTGGTTTAGGGTTTGGGGGTTTTAGGTCTTGGGGGTTTGGAGGCTAGGCTTTTCAGGGTCTGGGTTTAAGTGTTTCAGGGCTTGGGGCTAAGGGGTTCAAGGGTTTGGGTTTGGCGTCTGCTGGGCAAGGTTGCGCGCCAGGCGCTCAGTAGTGAGAAGACAGTCCCGCATACTCATTGCGGATTATGCCCAAACCCTAAACCCTAAACCCTAAACCCTAAACCCTAAACCCTAAACCCTAAACTTTAACCCTAACCCCTAAACCCTAAACCCTAAACCCCTGAACCCTGAACCCCTCTACCCTAAGGTCTTGCTGTTTGTTTCCAGGCCATGCAGCAGGGAGATGTCTTCATCCCCAGCGACCATGAGGAACTGGTGGAAGCCCTAAGCCCTATAAACCCCAGAAAGCCTACAAGCCCTATAAACCGTATAAACCCAACAAGCCATATAAGCCCCTATAAACGCTGCACACCCTCTAAAACCTCCAAGCCCAACACCCCCGAGACCCGGTCGCCAACCCACATGTTCTGGACTTAGGGTTTTGGGGTATTGGGGTTTTAGGGTTTCAGGGCTTTAGGGTCTAGCGTTGGCGTTTATGGCTTCAGGATTTCGGCTTTCGAGTTTCGGAGATAGGGTTGTAGGGTTTAGGGTTCAGGTGGCGCCAGGGTCGCTGACCAACGTGAACAGTCCCAAGCCCCACGGACCCTTAGCCCTTAACATCCCAGATCCTAAACCTAAGGTTTTGGCATATAGGGTTTTGGGTATAGCAGCTATGGGCGTCTAGAGAGTTTTGGAAGCTCCTAACGGCAACAGAGACCAGTTGGTTGCCCCAACCTTGGTGTTGTCTCGGATCCATACCTTGGACCATCCTGGTTGACTCTGTACACAAAGTTCTTGTCCTCATCAGGCTTGTGAAGCAAAAGTCTCTGAATTCCCCAGGTTTGGGGTTTCATTAGGGTTTAAGGTTTATGCAGGGCCCAGGGGCAAGCTCACCAGTTTAGGTTTTAGGGTTTAGGGTTTCAAGGGGCTTCACCCATCATCTCGGAGTAGTTGCTTCAGCAAGTTGCCACACGATGTGACAGTCAAGTGTGCCACTCCATCACTGTGAACCCTAAACCCTAAACCCTAAACCCTAAACCCCAAACCCTGAACCCTGAACCCTAAACCCTAAACCCTAAACCCTAAACCCTAGACCCTAAACCCTAAACCCTAAACCCTAAACCCTAAACCCTAAACCCTAAACCCTAAACCCTAGCTGCCAACATAGTTGCATGCATTCGGCCACTGATGCCACCTGGGCTGCCACGGACCATGTCACCCAGCTCTTCGACTTGAGAAAGCAAGTGTGCATCTGCGAGCACGCCCGGAAGGTGGACTTTAGGGCTTAGGGTTTAGGGCTTAGGGTTTAGGGTTTAGGGTTTAGGCTGCCGACGTCCTGTTGTTGGCCTGCCCGGCCGGCGCGGGCAGTGTGCCCTGCGGGCACAGCCGCATTCTGCATCGTACCTTTGTCTCTCTACTCCATGTGCCGAAGAAAGCTCCCTAAACCCTAGACCCTAAATCCTAAACCCTAAACTCTAGACCCTAGACCCTAAACCCTGAACCCTAAAGACCCTGACCCTTCAACTCCAAACCCTCTTTTTCTCGCGCTGAACCCAAACTAGAATGGGCTATCATAATCAATAACCCCTCAAACAGAGTGGATCGTGGGCAGGATAAGGCCGAATAAGATAGCCCATCCGGGCACCCCAACCCCTAATAAAAACTCAAGCCCCAAGCCCTAAACCCTAAACCCTGAACCCCAAACCCTAAACCCTAAACCCCAAACCCTAAACCCTAAACCCTAAACCCCGGGGCGGTGGAGGAGAATCGGCAGATCGCCAACATCTTTCTGCCCCTCCGGCGCTCCCCGGCGCCGCCCAAGCCGGGGAAGATGTCGAGGCCGAGCCTTGGGTTTCGGGTTTAGGGTTTAGGGTTTAGGGTTTAGGGTTTAGGGTTTAGGGTTTAGGGTTTAGGGTTTAGGGTTTAGGGTTTAGGGTTTGGGGGGGCTAGGGGGTCTAGGGGGGTTTAGGGCTTATGGGCTTTATGGGCTTCAAGGGGTTGAGGGTTTAAGGGTGGATTAGGGCTTAGGAGTTTTATGGAGTTTATGGGGTTGTGAATAGGGTTGATAGGGTTTGTCGGGTTTATAGGATTTGTAGGGATTAGGGGTTTAGGGTTTATGGGGTTCATCGGGTTTATGGGTTTGTTGGTTTTAGTGGGTTTAGGTATAGGTTATTAGTTTTATAAGGGGTTTGTGGGGTTTATGTGGTGTATAGGGATTATATGGGTTTAAGGGTCTAGGGTTCAGAGTTTAGGGTTCAGGGTTTAGGGCTAAAAGTTAGGGCATTTCGGGTTTCGAGTGTACGCCCACGTTTCCTGCGCACCACCCTCAGACGACATGTGCATACAGTTTCTCGAGTTTTGAATATGTTGGGTCGATAAAACCTCACAAATCATGGGTTCCCCTACTACCCCGCTCTACACTACCCTCCCTAGGTTCCCCCCTGAAATAGACTTAATGTGGCTTAATTTTCCCTAAAGAGCCGAAATTTTGGGGGGAACCTAGGCGGGGTTGTATGGAGGGGTAATACCCCTAAGCCCTATAATCCCTAAACCCCAAACCCCAAACCCCAAACCCCAAACCCTAAACCCTAAACCCTAAACCCTAAACCCTAGTATAGAGGGGAAGTAGGGGAACCCATGAACAAACCTCACGTGTCAGCTTGAACGTTCTGATCCTTCACCCGGAACCATCAAAAGTTCCCACGGGCCCGAAAACCTAAGCCCCAAACCCTAAACCCTACACACTCTACACCCTAAGCCCTAAACCCTAAACCCTAAACCCTAAACCCTAAACCCTAAACCCTAAACCCTAAACCCTAAACCCTAAACCCTAAACCCTAAACCCTAAACCCTAAACCCTAGCCCTAAAACCTAAACCCTAAACCCTGTAAGCGAATTTTTGCAAAGGCCCGAACTTGTCGCCAGGAGGCTGCTGGTTGCTTCAGTCCCCGGCGGCCCCGGAGAAGAGGAGGCTTCCCTTCCCAGGGTTTAGGGTTTAGGGTTTAGGGTTTAGGGTTTAGGGTTTAGGGTTTGGGGTTCAGGGTTCTTTAGGGTTTAGGGTTTGGGGTTCAGGGTTCAGGGTTCAGGGTTCAGGGTTTAGGGTTTAGGGTTTAGGGTTTAGGGTTTAGGGTTTAGGGTTTTGGTGTTTTTCCCAACCTACTCAGGCAACATTGCTGGCCTCCAAAGACTTAGCCCCAAACCCTAAACTTCTAAGCCCTTAAGACAGCGGGACACTTTTTTGGGCTCCCTTGAAGGGGATTCTCTTCTATTCGGGGTACCCTAAACCCGAAACCCTAACCCCTAAACCCTAAACCCTATAAACCCTAAACCCTAAACCCTAAACCCTAAACCCTAAACCCTAAACCCTAAACCCTAAACCCTAAACCCTAAACCCTAAACCCTAAACCCTAAACCCTAAACCCTAAACCCTAAACCCTGGACCCTACACTTACCCTAAACCCTCAACCCTGCAAACCCGAACCCTGAAAGCACGCGGAGGTCGGGCACATTCAGGTCATTGAAGAGGCGCTCCAGCGCGGCGACCCTCGGCCACTTTGGGATGTTGAGTTCGTCTGTGGAGGTTCAGGGTTTAGGGTTTAGGGCTTAGAGCTTAGCGCTTAGGGCTTAGGGTTTAGGTGTTAAGGTTTTGGGGGTTTGGGGTAAGCTTATGTTTTGGGGTTCTTCTGTCTATGTGTGGGGTGGGTGAGGTTCCGGGCTTAGGGTTTGGGGGAAGTTTAGAGTTTAGGGTTCTTCTGTTCTAGATGAGGTTCCGGGCCTAGGGTTTGGGGGAAGTTTAGAGTTTAGGGTTCTTCTGTTCTATGTGTGGGGCACCGTCCTAGATTTTATGAGCTTGCTTCAAAGTAGGGTCCCCCCGCCCACGAGACCCAGTGTTTAGGGTTTAGGGTTTCGGGTTATGAAGCCCTCGAAGCCCCAACCCTAGCACCCTATAAACCCTGAATCCCTGCTCCAAAAAAATCCCTTCTGAACCCACCCCAGGCCCTCTGGACCTTTTACAAACCCTAACTAAACCTTTAACCCTAAACCCCAAACCCTAAAGCCTAAACCCTAAACCCTAAACCCTAAACTCTAAACTCTAAACCCTAACAAACTGCTGCAGGAGATCTTGGAGCGCGCCGCTGAGCCCTTCGTGCGCATCGGCAGCGCGCCGGACCCCCTGGGACGCACCTTGGACCGAAGAGGTCGTTGGGGGTTTAGGGTTTGAGTTTGGGTTTTCGTTTTGGGGATTCACTGGTTAAGGGAGTTTAGATTTTTTGGGCTTTAGGGTTTTGCGGCTTAGGGGCTTCGGGTTTAGGGTTTAGGGCTAGGGTTTAGGGTTTTCGGGCTTGGGGTTCAGAGAGTTTAGAGGTTTTTGGTGGAGGGTTTGATTAGTAGCAGGTGGCTAGTTTCACCCTAAACCCTAAACCCTAAACCCTAAACCCTAAACCCTAAACCCTAAACCCTAAACCCTAAACCCTAAACCCTAAACCCCCCACCCGCCCTCCCCACCCCCCACACATAGTCGCGAAGCCTAGGCCTAAAGGATCCTGAAGCCTTATAGGGTTTAGGGTTTAGGGTTTAGGGTTTAGGGTTTAGGGTTTAGGGTTTAGGGTTTAGGGTTTAGGGCTCAGGGTTTTCCAAAATAGGGTACCCCTTTTATGCCCCAACAGAGCAAGGTACGCCCCTGGGACATCTTGTATTTTCCCTTATTGGGCTGAAGAGGATCATATTCAGGATATTTTTCAGAGGGCTTCACGGGCCATCCTAGAAAAAAACGAAGCCACCTAGTTTAGGGTTTAGGGTTTAGGGTTTAGGGTTTAGGGTTTAGGGTTTAGGGTTTAGGGTTTAGGGTTTAGGGTATTTTCGGAAATCCCCATGTCAAGTAACCCTTCTGGGAATTCTCCTCCTTGATTCATGCAAAGCCCTTGCTACCCCAAAAACTCCTTAAGAAGGGGGCTTCCCTCCCAAAACCCTAGCCCTAAACCCTAAAGCCTAAACCCTAGACCCTAAACCCTAAACCCTAAACCCTACTGCTTGGAACCCGAAGTCCCCTCCAAACTCGAAACCCGAAACTCTGTGAACCCTATATCAGCCGTAAAAACTCTAACCCTAAACCCCAAACCCTAGCCCTAAACCCAAACCCCAAACCCCAAACCCTAAACCCTTAAACCCTATACTCTAATTGCTGTGCGTACCAGCCAAGAAAAGAAGTAACAACCCCTCTATTGCCCTTATCAAGAAGATGTATTTTCATCTTTTCGGGGGGTTCTTAAGGAAACCCCAAACCCTAATTAATCATCAAACCCTAAACCCTAAACCGCTGCACCCCAAACCCCAGACTCCAAACCCTATTCCCCCTAAACCCTAAACCCTCAACCCTCAACCCTAAACCCTAAACCCCCAACCCATAGCTCCAAAATGCCAAACACATCGCAAGCCCCAGGCGCACGGCTGCTGCACGAGCTGTGCTGCGTCGGCGTGGCACCTCGAGCTTTAGGGTTTACGGGGTTTTAGGGGGTTTAGGGTTTAGGGTTTAGGGTTTGGTGTTAGGGTATAGGGCTTGGGGGGTTTTAGGAAGTTTGGGGTCGGGTTCCTTTTGCTATCATTATTTTTATTATTGTTCTTATTCTTATTCTTATTCTTATTCTTATTCTTATTCTTATTCTTATTCTTATTCTTGTACTTCTTCTTATTATTATTGTTACTACTATTATATTATTATTAGTAAATTGTTATTCTATGGTTCAGCGGGGTTTAGGGTTGAGGATGCAGAACTAAAAGGGTCTCAGGTTTCGGGTTCCAGGCTTTACGGCTTGCATCGGGCTTCTACGTTTCGGCTTTAAGGTTTTTGTCCGGGCTCTGCGGGCGCTTCTATAGTCTTTGGAGAGCGAGCGAGCGAGAGAGAGAGAGAGAGAGAAAGAAAGAAGGAAAGAGCGAGAGCGAGGAACAACAAAAAAAGAGCGAGAGCGAGAGCGAGAGCGAGGAGAAACAAAAACTGAGTGAGAGTGAGAAGAGCGACCCAGGACACCTTCGCGCCGGGCGCCGGGGATGTGAAAGTTCAAGCCGTGGCATACAGCGAGGACCTGCTGGGCTGGGTCGGGATTCGATAAAGACACTGTAAAGTCACCGTTAAAGCCCCCCCCCCCCAAAAGAAAAATAGTACATAATAAAAGTAAAAAAACAAGCAATAAACAAATAGTAACAACAATATATATATATATATACATACAAAAATCAGGACCCTAAGCCCTAAGCCTTGAAATCCCAAGCGCAGACCTTGCCGAACCCCCATTTGTCCTCACAAGAATGCTACACTCCCCGCGCCGAGTCATACTCTGCGACGAGTGGCTGTCACCTGCCATTTAGGTGGGTTTGGGGTTGCAGGCTAACCTTAAGCTGCCCCTAAACCCCCAAGCTGCCCCTAAATCCATCAAACACCCAAACCCCCAAAACAAAACAAAGCTTGGTAGCCCAGAAGTACCCTTTGTCCATTTTTTGGATGAAGGTTCGCTTACAAAGTAACCAACCCCAAAAAGGGTGCCCTTATGAACATATGGTTCCTGGGCTACCAAGAAAGAAACCCTAAACCCTAAACCCTACACCCTAAACCCTAACCCTTAACCCTAAACCCTAAACCCTAAACCCTAAACCCTAAACCCTAAACCCTAAACCCTAAACCCTAAACCCTAAACCCTAAACCCTAAACCCTAAACCCTAAACCCTAAACCCTAAACCCTGGCCCAAACCCAAGGAGCAGCAGCGCTTCGACTGGCATTGCAGCCCAGGCACCGGTCCAGGGTTTGGGGTTTAGGGTTTAGGGTTTAGGGTTTAGGGTTTAGGGTTTAGGGTTTAGGGTTTAGGGTTTAGGGTTCAGGATTTTGGGGTAGATGGGCAGCTTCATCGAATGATTCCGACACTTGGGTTCAATTTCCAGGATCCAGGCTTCAGGGTATTGTGGGCAGGGGTTTAGGTCTAGGCCCCTAAACCCCAAACCCCAAACCCTAAACCCCAAACCCTAAATCCTAAACCCTAAACCCACTTAGGCTTTTTGGAGGTCTGAGGGTGCCTTGGGTATCCCGACTGAGACTTCAAAGGCTCTCGGCTCTTAGTGGTTGATGATAGCGGGCTTGGTTGCGGGTTCGTGCACACCCCTTGAGTGCTTCGTGAAGCGCCGCAGGGTGGTGCCCTAAACCCTAAACCCTAAACCCTAAACCCTAAACCCTAAACCCTAAACCCTAAACCCTAAACCCTAAACCCTAAACCCTTCAAGGCTCTTGGGTGCCACCAGGAGCCTGAGCATTGCAAATCTCTTTCAACACCTCCAGAGCACAATGAAAACCTTCCCAAAAGGTGGGCGCCAAGTTTAGGGTTTAGGGTTTAGGGTTTAGGGTTTAGGGTTTAGGGTTTAGGGTTTAGGGTTTAGGGTTTAGGGTATTTTCGGAAATCCCCATGTCAAGTAAGAATCCTTTCAACCCCCTACATAGGGTCCCGTAAAACCCTGCAAGCATTGCTGCAGCCTGCCGACAGATGAAATCCCTTCACCGCAACAGTTTCGTCGGCGGGATCTTATCTTGGATGAGCGCCCTGGCAGAAGGTCTTGGCCCATAGAATGTTAGGAGTTTAGGGCTTTGGGCTGTTCAGGGCTTACGGCTTAGGGTTTCTGAGACTGTGCGTAGTGTCATGCGCTAGGCCCTTCCAGCAACTGTTTCCGGGGCGTTACGTTGAAGTTCCCTGGACACACACACACACACAGGCTCATTATTGAGAGCTTTCTGGATTTTGAGCAGAAGCCGTCGAGCCCTGCGTGATACAGACCTGCTTTGGGCCTGTATAGGTGTCAAGCTGTGCTGTTGCTTCACCCCAACATCCACAAACCGTTAAACCCCAAACCCTCACTAAACCCTTTCAGCCCCACCTGAACCTGAACCTGCTGCGACCCCTTTGAAAATCCACCCTACTTGGAGGTTTGTTTAGGGTACTTATAACCCCAAATAGGACTGTCACTTATAAGCCCCTAAGTCCTCTTAGTAGGTTATCAGCAGACTAACCCTCGGGGTTCAAAGTACCCATGAACCTCCAAGCAGACCCACCCTAAACCCTACACCCTAAACCCTAAACCCCAAACCCTAAACCCCAAACCCCAAACCCTAAACCCTAAACCCTAAACACCACCCTTCAACGCTGAAGACGACCCAGGGGCCACGACGCGCACGCCCGGGCTTGGGCCCGGGAGTGGGCTCGGGCGGCCTTGGGAGCGAGCCGGGAGGAGGAGGTGAGGTTGGGTTTAGGGTTTAGGGTTTGGGGTTTGGGGTTTAGGGTTTAGGGTTTAGGGTTTAGGGTTTAGGGTTTAGGGTTTAGGGTTTAGGGTTTAGTGTTAGGAGGAAGTGCTTGAGCCGCTGGGTTTACGGTTTAGGGTTTGGCGTTTGGGGGGTTGGGGTTTAGGGCTTAGGGCTTGGGGTTTGGGGTTTGGGGTTTGGGGTTTGGGGTTTGGTGGGTTGGGGTTAGGGTTTAGGGTTCAGGGTTTAGCGTTTAGGGTTTAGGATTTAGGGTTTAGGGTTTAGGGTTTAGGTTTAGGGTTTAGGGTTTAGGATTTAGGGTTTAAGTTTAGGGTTTAGGGTTTCGGGTTTAGGGTTTAGGGTTTAGGTTTAGGATTTAGGGCTTCGGGCTTAGGGTTTAGGGCATTTTTCCTGCATTTCCAAGGGCCTCGTGCCAGTGGCTGAAAGGACTAGAATTTTCCCTTGGCCCTTGGGCTCTTGACTACGGCTGTGCAGGTTTTCTCCAAGGTTCATAACGAGAGACCAGGAGTCGCTGGTCGCATACCTTTCGAGTGCACCCAGCTTGCAACCACACACATCCGTTTAGGGTCCAGGGTTCAGGGTTCAGGGTTCAGGGTTCAGGGTTCAGGGTTCAGGGTTTAGGGTTTAGGGTTTAGGGTTTAGGGTTTAGGGTTTAGGGTTAGCCCCCTCCCCTCATAGCCCGAACAGGCATTGTGTCTCGTCGGTTGCTGCACGGGGGCGTTCCTGGCCTTTGCGATCGCGAGAGCGCTTATCGAGGCCGGTCACACGCTGTCTACAGCCCACATTGGGTGTAACATCCCATGCTCCACCTTAAACTTTGTCATAGTTGGGTACCATGTTACATTTTTAAGGGTACTTAAACCCAATGAGGAATATAAATTCAAATTTTTCATATTCTCCCAACCATGAACTAGTAAACCCAACCTGCTAAGCATCCAGAAGCCCTACATCCCACCAAATAGCCAAACCCGCAAGCCGAAAGATGCCAAATTCGAATCAATACCCTAGGCTAGCAGCAACACAACATCCCCCCCCCCCTCCCCCAAACACAGCAAGTCAACAACCACGCTTTAAGAAGAACCTTTTTACCCTTCAACAAAAAGACTCACACCCCCCACCCCCCAAACCAAAAGAACAAGTAAAATGCATAAGGAAACCTAAAGCCCCAAGTAAGCACCCACGGAAAAGGCGCCGCAGAACAGGGCAGAGTTCATCGGGCTTATCCTCTTCCTTGAAGGTTTATGATCTTTTGCCGTTGCTTAGGGTCAAAACCCGACGGCGCTAAATAGCATGCCTGACAGGACTTCAACGTCACGCCCGCGGCCCTCTTCCTAGTGAACCCTACGCCAAGGCACCACGGTGGGGACGTGTGAGGACCTACAGCGTTTGAAGCATACACCCGAGTCTAGACCTCGCACATGTAAATTTCCCTAAGCCCGAAGCCCCAACCCCTAAAGCAATCGGGACTTGGGACATGTATTGACGTTTCTCTTGTTGGTCCGGTTCACGGATTTGGGGGATGGTTGCAGTCTATTTGGAGAGCCCTGTTGAATCCCCAAGCCCGAACATGGCCTCAACCCTATCAGTCTGGATGTTCCCCCTTAAACTAACAGTCCTCCATGGGGAGTACACTAGGGCGTACTAGAATACAAATCAAGGACTGCTAGTCTAAGGGGGACCATCCCAACCTTTTAGCCCCAACCCCCCCTGCCATTCCTGAAGCCCAAGGCTAAGGCCCCCTAAACTCAGAAGCCTAAGCGGATAAGCCCCAAAGACTAGCCCTGTGCCCCTAAGCAGAGGCCCAAAACCTTAAGAAGTCCTGGGTTTAGGGGCTTCTAGGGTTTAGTAGGGTTTAGAGGGTTCAGCGTTTGTAGGGTTTAGTGCTTAGGGAATCTTAAACGGGAGACTGCCGCAGAGGTTTCCTTGGTGTAGCACTGCACTTCCGGCTGTACTACGGGCGCCTCGTCAGAGGGGGTGGGCTGTAGCGTCGGTTTGGCTTAGGTTGAAAGATTCGTGTGGAAGGCTAAATTCTATCTTGTTGTTTGCTTTTTTTTGGGGAAGAGGTGTGGTACTTAACGCTGCTAAGGGCTTGTGGGTTTTGAGTTTGAGGGCTTAATGTCGAGGCATTTTGGGGGTATGACGGGGGTGGCGATGGCTTTAGGGTGTAGCTATAACTGCAACTCAAAAGGTGCTGCTAGCGGTTTAGGGTTTAGGGTTTCGGCTTTCGGGTTTAGGGTTTAGGGTTTCAGGTTTAGGGTGTAGGGTTTAGGGTTCAGGGTTTATAGTAAACTGCAACTCAAAAAGGCTGCTAGGCTCTGCCTCTCATTCACTTCCCAGAAGCAGCTTCAAGAACAATTTTTGAGGGTCTCGGGGTTCAGGGCTTAGGCTTACTCAGTCAAGGTTTTGGCGGGTCACCCTAAACCCCAAACCCCAAACCCTGAACCCTGAACCCTGAACCCTGAACCCTGAACCCTGAAACCCTAAACCCTAAAACCCTAAACCCTAAGCCCTAAAACCCTAAACCCTAAAACCCTAAACCCTCAACACCCAAGCCTCTCCTGAGGACTGCGCCGTCCACGTGCTCGTGGATGGCACGGCGACCTACGGACCTCCCTGGCGCTACGAGGAGCCCCCAGGGCTTTTGTGGGGGGGGGGGGGGTTTTATAAGGTTTCTATAGGGTTTTTGGGGGGTTTAGGGTTTAGGGCTAGGGTTTAGGGTTGAGGGTTTAGGGGTTTCGGGTTGCCAGGTATAGGGTTTTAGGGTTTCGGGTTTAGGGTTTTAAGGTTTAGGGTTTAGGTGTTTGGGGTTGTTCCTACGAAGCCCTTGGCCACCAGACCCTAAACTGCCTAAACCCTAAACCCCAACCTATAATCCCCTAAGCCCTAAGCCCTCAGCCCTAAGCCCTAAACCCCCAGCCTCTAAAACCCTCAGGCCTAAACCCTGTACTAACTCAGCCAGCTTGGATCACCCCCCCCCCCCCCCCCCCGGCAAATCGGCCTCAAAAGCCGTAAGCACCGCGAGCCCTGAGCCGCCCAAACCGGGAAGCTGAGACACCCTCAGCACCAACCATCCAAGCCCTATGAGCCTCAACCCTGAGCCCTAAACCCTAAACCCTAAACCCTAAACCTTAAACCCTAAACCCTAAACCCTAAACCCTAAACCCTAAACCCTAAACCCTAAACCCTAAACCCTAAACCTAAATTTCTTCATGCACATTCCTAAGCCCTCAACCCTCAGGTTCGTCGACTCTCAAGCCCTATAGACCCAACCAGGACGCCCAGGCATGCCCCTTATTTTTCTTTTTCGCATGAGGTTTAGGGTTTAGGGTTTAGGGTTTAGGGTTTAGGTTTTAGGGCTTAGGGTTTAGGGTTCCCTATACCTTTGCTAGGGAACCGGCCTTTATGAAGCTGAAAGCCACTAAGCCTCCCCAAACCCCAAACCTAAACCTTTATTGCTGGGGAACCTGCCTTACAAAAGCTGAAACCACTAGGCCTCCGAACCCCAAACCCTAAACCCGAAACCCTAAACCCTAAACCCTAAACCCTAAACCCTAAACCCTCTTTTCCACCACCTGCTCGTTTCGAGGTGTCTACCAAAGGCTCCTTCTCAGTGAAGCGCTACACGAATGTGCAGGAGCGGTTGGAGTTTAGAGTCCAGTATAGTAGGCTTCTTGCGGGGGTTCTAGGTTTTTTGGGGTTTAGGGTTTAGGGCTAGGGTTTAGGGTTTAGGGTTTAGGGTTTAGGGTTTAGCTTCTTCAGTCTGTTTTTTCCTAGGGTGGTCAGATCCGAAAGGTCCTGGTAAGAACCAGCACGCAAATCCCGAGAAGGACATGGCCGAGCAGGTGCTCCAAGGAGTGAGAAACGCCTGACCAACTGCCCTTTTCGAAGAAACTGCCCTCCCGGCAGAAGGGCTTAGAGATGTTCTACCAACCCCTCCCCCTAGGGGACCCCGAGCCCTAAACCCTAAGCCTAAACCCTACAGCACCTTCCTTACACTTTCAGATAGCCCAGCTTGGTAGCGCCCGCCTGCTTCGACCGCAGGCAGACTTTCAGGGTTTAGGGTTTAGGTTAAGGGTTTGGGGTTTCGGGTTTAGGGTTTAGGGGTTTGGGGATAAAGGGGGCCGCTGCTTCACGCTGAGGGTGTAGGGTGGTAGGATAGCTGTCTGGGTGCAGGACTTCATCATGACACTTACTTGTCTTGGGGCTTTCGCTGCCTTGCCCAGAATGCACAGGCTGTTTGAGAGTTCAGGGTTTTGGGATTTAGGGTTCAGGGTTTAGGGTTTGGGGTTTAGGGTTTAGGGTTCAGGGTTTAGGGTTTAGGGTTCAGGGTTTAGGGTTCAGGGTTTAGGGTTTAGGGTTTAGGGTGAGGGTTTTTCATGCCAGGGTGCTCAGCAGAATGTGACCGCGTGCACGGTGTACGTCCTCAGCCGCAGTCGGTTTAGGATGTTGGGCTTTGGGGGTTCGCAGTTCCCGATACCACGTTGCCACAGGAGTAGCGGTTTAGGGGTTAGGGTTTAGGGTTTAGGGTTTAGGGTTTAGGGTTTAGGGTTAGGGTTTAGGGTTTAGGGTTTAGGGTTTAGGGTTTAGGGTTTAGGGTTTAGGGTTTAGGGTTTAGGGTTTAGGGTTTAGGGTTTAGGGTTTAGGGTTAGGTTTAGGGTTTAGGGTTTAGGGTTTAGGGTTTAGGGTTTAGGGTTTAGGGTTTAGGGTTTAGGGTTTAGGGTTTAGGGTTTAGGGTTTAGATCTTGAGGCCCAAGCCCCAAGGAAGTAAGACTCGCTTAGGAGTTGCCAGCCGTTCCGGTGCTAGAAGCAGGCCTTTGAATTCTCTTCCGAGCAAAGTCCGCGAGCAAAGGCCCGCGTCGTGCCAGCCCGTGTTAGGCAAACAAATAAATAAATATAAAAATAAATATAAATAAATAAATAAATATATATATATATGTATCCATATGGAGATAGCTATATATATATATATGTATCATATAATAAAATGTACGCAAATAGCCTGTAATCTAAAATAAAGCATATATACATATATACCATTTTGTACATATATGTATATGCGGTGGGGTCTTTATTCTTGTTTAACTACCCTGAAGCCCCCAAGCACCCTGACAAAATCCCCCCCCCCCCCAGAGGCCCTCTGAAACCCTTAAGCCCCCAATGAGGGTTTAGGGCTTGGGGTTTATGGGGATTATAGGGTCTAAACAGGGATTGTAGGGTTTTTTGGGTGGTTTATTGGGATTAAGGGTTTGTTATGGGAATTTATAGGGGTTTTTTGGGGGGTATATCAGGTTTTCGGGGTGCTTGATGAAACCCCGAAGCTGATTCCCTGCTCACACCCCAGAACTCAAGCTTGAACTCTAACAAGCCCCATAAACGCACCATAGAAACGCACCCTCCCTAGTTTAGGGTTTAGGGACCCTTAATATACCCCTACATAGTATAGTCCTCATTATAGCAACCACCGAAAGGGTAGCCCTACCCTGTAATTATCGCCCCGAGCCGCTTCATAAACCTGACATAGTTCAAACCTACCGTGAATACGAGCCCAAAAGCCCTAAGCCCTCTTAGAAACCGAGTTCGAGCCGCAAGCCTTAGCCGCACTGAGCGCAAGTAGGGATGCTGCCTGAGGGCTCTCAACCCGGAACTCTAAAACATCATAAGCCCATAAACCCTAAACCCTACAATCCTAAACCCCTAAACCCTGAGGGTTTAGGGTTTAGGGTTTCGGGTTTAGGGTTTAGGGTTTAGGGCCTAAACCATCTAAACCTTAAGTTTATGGCTTCAGGTTCTAGAGGGGGCTTTCGGAGAACTCCCGCACCACATGGGACCGTTTCACGGCCCAGCGGAGGTTCGGAGCACTGTGGTTTAGGGTTTAGGGTTTAGGGTTTAGGGTTTAGGGTTTAGGGTTTAGGGTTTAGGGTTTAGGGTTTAGGGTTTAGTGCTTACCAGGGCTCCAGTGAGGGTTGGCATGCCCCGCGGGCGCGTTAGGGAGCCTCAAAGGGAGGCCGTCGTTGCGTTTGGAATCGCTTTCGTTTCGCGCAGCCAGCAAAAGCTGTGAAAACCCTAAACCCTAAACCCTAAACCCTAAACCCTGAACCCTGAACCCTGAACCCTAAACCTTCCAAGCCCTATATCCTGACTTGAGTGCTCTCTTGGGTGTACTGCATCGAGTGCGCACAAGACGTTCTGTGAGTTGTTTTCCCAATTTGCGTCGGAGTTGCGTGTGCTTGCAATGTGATGCCCAAGGAGAAACCTCGCACGTTTTCTTCAGCTTGTCAGTTTGCAAAGTAGCATGACCATTCAACCGTGCTTATTGCAGGCCTATTTCAGTCAATAAACCCTAAACCCTAAACCCTAATTAAACCCTAAACCCTAAACTGTAGTCCGATGCAATCCAACTTCGGCAGGGGCCCCTCAACCCGGTCTGACGAGAACGATTGAGGCCATGGGCTGTTGCGCGCCAGGCGGTACTGGCATCTCTTCAGAGGAGAGCCAGCAGGCGCATGCTGCATGAAGTTGCGCAAGCTTGTCCAGAATTCTCTGGAAGATATCCGCTGAAGCAGAGACTTGCATGGGGCCTTACTGTTGGGGTCGGAATAATTACTAATAAGGCTTCTCTTCTGGTTCATATATGAATATACTATATGATACTATATGAACCCCCCAGCAAGGACGACCTGCAGCAGCCGTTTTTTGCACAGGTCGTTTCTTAATACATGAGAATCACAGAAGGGAGAAGGGGGCACCCCAGGCGGGGTACTGCACAGTCACTGGAGGTGCAGCTCACGCTCAACACAACTCTTTAGGCTTACATAGTAAGCCCAAGCGATGGTGTTCATGGCTGTCGGGTGTAGTTCTGGGTCCAGGCACCCTAGAAAAGGGTGCGTGCGGCCTAAGCAGGCCTGGGTGGGAATTTAGGGTTTGGGGTTTAGGGTTTGGGTTTGGGGTTTGTTTGGGGTTTGGTGTTTAGGGTCTAGGGCTTATGGCATTTCAGGGGGCGGGTGAGCCTTGAGGGGACAGGTAGACCCTATACTGGGTAAAACAAAGCAAACCGTGCCTCGACTGAGGCGGACTACACAGAGCTTGTCCAGCGTGTGCAAGATTCCTTCAACAAGGAGCATGAGGCAGGGTTTAGGGTTTAGGTTTAGGGTGCCGGATTTAGGGTTTAGGGTTTAGGGTTGAGGAACAGCAGAAAGGAATGGCTTAAGGTTTGGAGGGTTTGGGGTTTGGGATTCGGAGTTTAGGGTTTAGGATTTCGGGTGTGCTCTTCAAAGGGTTGAGGTTTTTGGGTGATGCAGTTCTGAGTCGAGCTTTGGTCTGCCCCATGCAAGAAGAGTCGCCTCAAGATAGAAGCATCACCGTCTCGTGAAGCCACTGTTGCTGCATGAGGGCACAGCCTAATTCAAGCTACACCTTAAACAGGAACCAGCGACATACCCTGAAGCCGAAACCCTACACCCTAAACCTAAACCCTACACCCTAAGTCCTAAACCCTAAACCCTAAACCCTAAACCCTAGCAGTCCAGAGGTGAAGAATTTCGGTACTCAGGGATTTGGTTTCTGAAGCCCGGCCCCCTTCACCTCCTGGGCCTTCACACCCTCAATGCCACTGGGCTTCAGGCCTTACACGGACTTAAGGTTTAGTTCGGGTTTAGGGTTTAGGGTTTAGGGTTGAGGGTTTAGGGTTTAGGGTTTTGGGTGTAGGGGGATCGTTTAGCGTTTTAGCTTTTTGGGGGCTTCGTTAGACTGACTGGCTCAGATCGTCACTGGAGCTTCGCGAGCCTTGGCGTGCACAAAGGGCTGAGTGCTTCGAGGATGTCTTAGGGTTTAGGGTTTAGGGGTTAGGGTTTAGGGTGTGGGTTTAGGGTTTAATTAGGGTTTAGAATGCTAACTAGGCCTTAGTCGGGCTTGAGGTTTACGAATTAGGGCTTGAAGGGGGTGTAGCTGGGACCCCGAAGGGGGTACCCCTGGGTTTGGGGACCCTTTGTTAAGATTACTTAGGCAGTATAAGGGCCCTGAACCCTAAAGGGCTTAGGGCTTAGGGTTTAGGGTTTAGGGTTTAGGGCTTAGGGTTTAGGGTTTGGGGCCGAAATACACCCTAAACCCTGCACCCTAAACCCCATATTAGGAGCATGTTAAGGACGAGTCTTAGCCGCTTGAGGGTTGCTGAAAAGGGGAGGCCTATCTAAAGCAGCCGCCCTTGCAAATCCCGAAGCTGACAAGTAGACCCCTCAGGGTTTGGGGTTTAGGGTTTAGCATTCAGGGTTTAGCGTTCAGGGTTTAGGGTTCAGGGTTAGGGTTCAGGGTTAGGGGTTAGGGTTTAGGGTTTAGGGTTTAGGGTTTCGGGTTTAGGGTTTAGGGTTTAGAGTTTAGGGTTCCCAACATCAAGGGCACATAGGTTACTCTCGGCAGATGCTAAACACTGCCGCTAAGCCCTAAACCCTAAACCTTAAACCCTCAACCCTAAACCCTAAACCCTAGACCCTAAACCCTAAACCTTAGTGAGGTTTCGTTAGGGTTTCGGGTGTAGGGTTGCGATAGATACAAAAAGCCCACATCTCCCCGAGCTTTCTCTGACCCTTCCCTCCCTTAACTGAGGATTTCGGGCAGCCTTAAAGTTTAGGGTTGGGGGTTGAGGGTTTAGGGGTGAGGGTCTAGGAGTTTAGGGGTTTAGGGGGTTACGGGTTTAGGGGTTTAGGGGTTGAGGAGTTGAGGGGTTTAGGGGGTTTGGGGTTGAGGGTTTAGGGATTTCGGGTTTAGGGAGTTTGATGTTGAGGGTTTAGGGGCTGGGATGCGGGTTCTCTTTGACAAAACACTAATTAATCCCTCATCCTTGAACCCTAAACCCGAAGCCCTCAACCCCGAAACA